TACTGGCTCTGCCAAGGAGGCAGACTGTGTACTACAGCCGCTTCAGCTGATTTCTAAGAGAAGGCATAAGCCCTGGCTATGAATTTTTTAAAGTTTGACTTATGGAGCCACCATTTATTAAATTTCAGCTGAATATTACTGATTGAATCTCAGCGATAGCACTTATCTTTCCCCTGCCTCCATTCTCTTTTCCTGCCTCATGTTATAGAAAACTGGATAGAAAATAGCATCCAGTCCTTAAAAGGCAGGGAAAATTGGTGCAGTTAAGATGGGAAGACAGCCTCAAAGATAATTCATTCACTGTATCTGAGCGAATAAGTAGTCTAGACAGCCTGCCCATGTGAAGTGTGAGCGAGACAAAAAATGACCCAGCAGCCCTAATAGCACTAGAGAGGAAGATGGAAAAAAGGGTATGTGGAGGGCAGAGCCGGGCTTGGAGGAAGATTCTGCCCATGAAACAGAAGCAAACGCAAGACTTCACACAGTTTACCATATGAAGATATTCTTAAGGATATGAATTCAGTAAAATAAGAGCAAAGATGAGATAATGAAGTAAAATGAAGTGAAGAAGGAGATTGCAGGATTGACATAAATTGATAGTACAAACCTTGCTATTACACATCATAAGTAAGAAATGCCAGGAAACATAGACAAGTTAGAAAATCAAGTTTCAGCATGGAGGAGAGGTTTGAGCTCATCAAAATGAATGAGGTGTAGGGAGGGGGTTGGGAAGAATAAAGTAATTAGGGAAGATGTGATAAATACAGAGAAGAGAAATTCAACCATAAGACAAGTAAGTGCCCCTAAAATGCAAAACAAAAAATAATTTAAAGAAATGATAGAAAGCAGTTTCCACAAATGAAGGAATTCTTCAGTTTGTACATTAAAGGGACTCACTATATCAATAAAGTAGTTGAATAAATTAGGGTTGCAGAGAATGTAAATAAAGGAATAATATAAGCAATTGAAGTTGTACAGTAGGGAGAGGGGAGGTGGAGGAGTGTAATTGTACCCCTCGTCCCTCCAGCTGTTCTGGCTGTCACTAGACGCTGAGTCCATTTGATGCAACCTCTTCAGGGAATGAGAATTAAATGAAATTCTACATGCCAAACCGTGAGTCCCACCTTACACCTAGCCATTTTCCCCTGCTTGGCCAAAAGTACTTGGAGCCAGGCTTATTCTACCTGGACAGAATATGGAATTATTTCTTTCTGGGGAAAGTGGTACAAAAGAAAAACTTGCAGATGCTGACACTTGAGGGTTCTCTAAGGAAAGGTTAGGGTTCCTACATGATCCCTAGTTCTATGAAGCCCACTGGTTGAATCATCTTATTCATGCATGGTGAGCATACAATCAACTGTCTCATATTTCACTTTGTTGTTGCTGTTGTTTAAAATTAGTTTTATTGAGATATAACTGCAGATCATAAAATTCACCCGTGTGAAGTGTATAATTCAGTGGTTAATAGGCACAGTTGTACAACCATCACCACAATCTAATTTTAGAACATTTCATCACACCAGAAAGAAACTATGCCTATTAGTAGTCATCCCCTAGTCCCACACTGCTCTACCTGTCCGCAGCCCAGACAATCACTAATAGACTTTCTGTCTCTATAATTTGACTAGTCTGGACATTTTATCTATGGTGTTTTAAGTAGAATGAGAAATGAAGAATCATCAGACATTTGAGGAATACCTCAAATGAAGTCCAAAAATGAAAATAACAAAAAAGAAACTCTGTGGAAAAAAGGTAATATATAAAGACCAGAAGATAACTTTCGAAAACTTATTTTTTACATCTATAAAACAAGAAGAGGAGGCAATCAAAAGAATATTCAGAGAATAAGAAAGCTTTCGGGAAATAAAAATATTATCATAGAAAAAACTAAACAGAAGTGGAGACAAAATTGAAAAGATTCCTTAGTCAAAAAGGCAAAACTGGCCAGACTCGGTGAGTCAGCCTGTAATCCCAGCACTTTGGGAGGCCGAGGTGAATGGATTGCCTGAACCTGTGGGTTCAAGACCAGCCTGGGCAACTTGGTGAGACCGTTTCTACAATAAATCAAAAATTAGCTGGGCGTGGTAGCGCGCACCTACAGTTCCGGCTACTTGGAAGGCTGAGGCAGAAGGATCACCAGAACCCAGCAGGTCGGCACTGGGGTGGCCGTGAGTGTGCCACTGCTCCAGCCTGGGTGACAGAGTAAGACTCCAACTCAAAAAAACAAAAACAAAAACAAAACCCATACAAAGTGAGTTAAAAGGTAAGGAAAGCAGAAATTAGTTCAAAATGATAGTACTTCAAGCAGAAGAGTAAGAAAAAAAATTGTTTTTTTAATTTTTGAGTTGGAGTCTCACTCTGTCACCCAAGCTGGAGTACAGTGGCACACTAATGGCCACCACAGCCTTGACCTATTAGGCTCAGGCAATCTTTCTGCCTCAGCCTTCCAAGTAGCTGGTACTAGAGGCGTGTGCTACCATGCCCAGCTTATTTTTTGATTTATTGTAGAGACGAGGTCTCACCAAGTTGCTCAGGCTGGTTTTGAACACCTGAGCTCAGGCAGTTCTCTCACCTTGGCCTCCGAAAGTACTGGGATTACAGGCTTGAGCCACCGTGCCCAGCTGAAAACAAAATTCTTAAAAGATCTGGGCAAAAAAGTCTTTAAGTAAAAAAAAATTTCAAGATCCAGAGACTTGAGATTCTAGATTAAGAACTCATTTATTTTCAGCATAGGAGATGAAAAGATACTTCAAAACACTTTTGTGAAATTTTAGGTAACCAGGAATAAAGAGATGATTCTAAAAGATTTCAGAGAGTGAGAGAACCATGGGATGGGGGATCAGAGTGGCAGTGACTGCCAATGGGTAGAGGGTCTCTGGGGGTGATGAAAATGTTCTAAAATTGACTTGCGGTGATGGTGAACAACTCTGAGTATGCTAAAAACCATTGACTTGTATACTTTAAATCAGTTAATTGACTGTAAAGGATTTTCTAGGGTAATTCTTGACTCCACTCAGTAAAGCTGTTATTTTTAAATCTTAATGAATTTTTAGTCCATTGTGTGTTGCTAAGCTGTTATTTAACTATTCCAGCCTTATTTCTGGTTCTTCTCCTCAACTGCAACGGTTTTACTTATGTTCTCTTGTGTGCAGTACAGCTCTTTCTCAATTCTCTAGTTCAAGACCTAATATTACCTATTCTTTCAAATCTAGCTGAGCCTTCTCTTCTTCCATAAAATAGAAAAAATGACTTCTTCCCAGCAGAAGGTAATCTCTGCAAAATTAATCTCTGCTCTCGACCTGTACCATACCTTATGTCTCTGGGCACATCACTGTGGGTTTTGCAACATAGAGGAGTTGTGTGTTAAGTTGAAGCTGAGTCAACATTTGTCTGCCACATGCTGTCAAAAATTACCCTAGAAAATCCTTTAAATTGCCTGAGCAGTACAATTCTGTTTACATTCAACTTGTTCAGTTTTTTTTCCTTCCGAGATTGGAACAGATCTCTGTCCTACTGAATGCTAGTTGCAAAAACTAATTTGTATCTATAGGTGTTATATAAAATAAGAAAGAACAATAAAGCCCAGCAAATAATACGAATATGGATATATGGTGATGTGGCCCCTTCTCAGCCTCAGTTCTCAATGGAAACAAGCAAAGGCTCTTAATTGTATAGTTGGGGGGTGTGAGATGGATGGGTGGTAGAACAATTATGAACTGACTGACATTTGGGACTTCTTTAATTCAGCGTACATTTTGCTTATAATATTGGCCTGTTTCTAATGAAAGAAATCATCTAACACAACAAATATTTCCCCCTTTTTCCCCACACTACTTGGAAGAGGTTGCTTTTCATTAACTTCACAGTAATGCCAAGCAATTTATGCAATTGAATATTTGGACCCCACTTACTGTGCCATGGTGAGCTTTTGCCCTATGTAACCAGACTCATATTCCACACAACTAAGCATTTACACTATGAGGGGTGGGCTGAAACCAAGACTGAGAGTGTTAGAATTACATCTTTCCACCATTATACTCTAAAATGTGCACTGTAAATAGGAATGGTAGGCAAAATCACCAGATCTTTTGAAATATGTTGTTTTTGTTCTCTTTCCTTTCCCTGCCAGGTAAATAGAGTTGGTTTGTTTAAATGAAATGTGCGGTAAGAAAGACTAATTGAATAAATGATGCTCCGTCCATATAATGGAATGCTATTACAGCTGTTACCAAGAAAAAAACACAACTGGGTTTATAACATGATGTGTTTGAGTTTTGTTTTGAAGAATATATACATATGTAAATGTGCATTTATGAATATATGTACATCCTTCAACATAATTGTGCTGTATTTGTGCTTCCAAAAAACATTTCTGGAAGGATATGTACTAATTTGGTAATAGTAGTTGACTCTGGAGAAAAGGAACCAGGAGTTGATGATGGGGTGGGAGGAAGACTTAGCTGTCATTGCAAATGCTTTTTGGTATAGTTTGACTTTTACCATGTGTATATTACCTTTCCAATGGAAAAACATTCATATCTTCCTACCAATTAATTGTTAATAGTTTATGGTAAATATTTACATATCATTTTGAGATACTCCTTTTGTTTTTTATTGTTTTTGAGTCGAAGTCTCACTCTGTCTCCCAGGCTGAGGTGCAGTAGCACAATCACAGGTCACCACAGCCTCAAACACCTGGGCTCAAGGAACCTTCCGCCTCAGCCTCCCAAGTAGCTGGGACTACATGCGCACACCACCTCACCCAACTAATTTTTTGATCTTTTCTAGAGATAAGGTCTCGCTATGTTGCCCAAGCTGGTCTGGAACTCCTGGGCTCAAGCAATCGACCTCACAGGCATGAGCCACAGCACCTGGCTGAAATTACAACTTAAAGTGAGCAGAAAATACGTGTATAGTGATAATTAGTGCTACTGCTACTGTTTGAGTCTCCAGCAGCTAGTATATATGCCACCAGTAATGTACAAATTTGTGTTTTACAGAGTCACATCCATTTGGGAGAACAGTCTCCAGATCACTACAATTTCTAGCTTTGTAGGAGCGTGGCTTGGAGCGTTTCCAATTCCACTGGATTGGGAAAGACCATGGCAGGTTGGTTTCAGTTACTTAAAGCAACAAAACAGACGTTTCTACAGTGATGGTAAAACTGATGAGGCAAACTAGTATCTATATGTAGTTTTGTTATTCAGTTAAGTGGAGATACCAATTCTTTCAGTCATTGTCATCTAGGTATCTTCTTATTGGGCCTGTCCCAGTACAACAGACATCCAGATTGGTTCTATCATCCAGCACTGTTTTTTTGTACATGTATAGGTGAATAAACAAACTTATTTTGTGATCATGTATGGGGGGTTTATTTTTTTAAAAAGATGGAGTTGTTGTCTTGCGTAGGCTGGCCTTCCACTCTTAGACTCAAGTGATCTTTCTTCCTCAGCCTCCCAAGTGGCTAGGGCTACAGGTGTGCACCACCATGCCCTACAAGATTTTTTTAAATTGGGCTAGAAGTTACATAACTTTCCTGTTTTCATCTTTGATATTCATTGTCCTTGTGGTATTAGATTCATTTTTTTTTTTTTTTTAACTTGACTGAGGGCCAAATTGAATGAGGATCTTGAAATAGTAAAAGCACTCAGCAAAGTAATTTTTGAAATAGTGGCATATAATATTGGAGTAAACGCATAGATGTTCTAGTTTCCTATGACAATCGGGTAAAGCTAATATGCTAGGTCAAGCACTGTGAGGTAAGTGCTCTTTTTATCCCCATTTTGCAGATGAGGAAACTGACACCTAGAGGACAGGTAATGTTCCCAAGGTCACTGAACTAGTAGGTGGTGGGCATATCTTTATTTGAATATTAACAACTTTGCAGAATGCCATTTTATAGTTACTTTATAATTTATTTAACAAGTTAACTATTAGTCATTTAGATTATTGCCAGTATTTTATGATAATAAACACTGCTTGTGATAAACATCTTTGCATCGATAGCTTCATGAATTTTTATGATTATTTTCTTAGGTTAGCTACTCCCAAATAGAATCTGGTATTGAAAAATAAATACTTGCTTTTTCTAGCATGAAAATAACTTTTTTCTGATCACAATGATAATATATATTTATTTAGAAAATTTAATTTTAAGTGATATTAATAGTTCTAAGAAAGACAGTAAAAATCACTTTTTCCCCCCAACCACCCAGAGGAAACCCCCATTTGTATTGTGATGATCCTTTTTGCAGCTGACTCCCTGCATGTATATAACTATTTATAATACACATCTTATTTTCAGTCTGCTTTTTATCCCTCAGCAGTGTATTATGAAACTCTTTTTATGTCAATGAAAACATAGATATATGTAATATTTTATTATTTGGGTAAGACATTGTATTAATATGTTATGAAAGGACATTTGGGTTATTTCCATTGTTCACTATTATTAATATTTTATTATTAATTATGATTATTGGCATACTTAAACATCTTTGTGTATTTGCTCCATGTTCTCTTTAGGGGAAATTCCTAGATAATGAATAGCTGAATTAAATCTTTGATACACACCTCGCGCGCTGAATGCACGATCCAGATTGGCCTACCTTTAGGTTCATTATTTTTTATTTAATTTAATTAATTTATTTAATTTTTTAAGTTGGAGTCTCACTCTGTCCCCCAGCCTGGAATGCAGTGGCATGATCACAGATCACTGCAGCCTTGACCTTATGGACTCACACAATCCTCCCGCTTCAGCCTCCTGTGTAGCTGGGACTACAGTGTGAGTCACCATGCCCAGCTAATTTTTTGATTTTTTTGTAGAGGTGAGGTCATGCTGTGTTGCCCGACTGACCTCGAACTCCTAGTCTCAAGCAATCCTCCCACCTTGGCTTCCCTAAGTGCTGGGATTATAGGTGTGAGCCACCATGCCCGGTTAGGTTCATTCTTTATGCTTTCAGTCAGATGTTGCATCTCCCAGACAGTCGAGTTATTCCTATATGTTTCATAAGTCTAGTAGGCTTGCCCTTATTTTGATTCTCTACCTACTGTGTTTTAGACATCCCTGCAGGTTTGGGGTGTGTGGTGTCACAGATACCCTTTCCAAGTGATCACTGGGAGGTGTGGACTTGTCTGTATTCAAGTTGACATCTTATGGAAGTCATCTGTACTTAATGTCATTCATTAAGAGTGTCAGTGATTTCTAAATTGGAGGACAATCAAAATCATTGAAAAGTATACATAGGAAATTGTTTTAAACTGTAGTAGATTCATTACTTTCAAGTAATGCAATTAAATCTAAATACAAAGTATTGATAAAGTACCATGGGACATCAACTGAATTGAATCTAAGTTGGTAAGATAATGAATAATAATCATATTAGTTTGTACAGGGATGGAATGTTTTAGAGTGTGAGAGTTTGATATCTTACACATAATTTAGGATTTTTTGTTTACAAGACTATGCAGAAGTGGAAACTGAATTATAGGGAATAGAGATTTTCAAAATCTGTATTTAGGTTTGTTTAGAAATTATAAAATTATAAAATAAATAAATAAAATAATATAATTATTTATATTCACTTATCCATTTTTGTATTGTTCAGGCTTTTAGCTATTGACTCATTTTTCTACCTTAGTGCTTACTTACAATAAGAAGTAAGCTGGATCCTTATTAAAGATAATACACTTTGAAAATTAATATAGTTTTCATTTGAATTATTGACTTTAAAAAAATATTTTCTACTAGCTAAATATGTAACAAATATTGGTCTTCATTAAGAATGTTTTGTTCAACTGAAATATTACTGGCTGCTTATCTTTGCTGCTGGGTTGTTTTTAGAGTATTCCAAGTTAATGACCCTTGTTCATTACTATCCTTTTAAATCATGCTACATACTATTGGGGGAATAGAATTGATATGTAATTAACATATTTTATTCATATAATACCTGTCCTTTGCCCTTTTAGCAGTTATTTACTAATAAACTAAAGAAAGAATGAGGTTTCATTTTTTTTCTTTTGCTTTTTATTTCCAGCAAACAAGGTTTTTGTTGTTATTTTTTAATAATTCTAACTACACATAACAGAATCTGCCAGAGAAGCAATAAATCAGATAAGGAAAATGTCATTTCCTAAAAATGGAGATTTTGCTAGAGCAAAGTTTCATGAGAAAATAGTACTCTATGCACATTGTTATCTAAAATATGTATTAAGAAGAGATGATTTTGGTTTTCTGTTCCTTGTAGCCCATTACAGATTTGATATTTTGTGGTAAAGCAAGCTTTTCTGGATTGTGATCTGGTTTTATTTATATTCTAGTCAAGAGAAACAAGAGTATCTGGTTAAGCAATTATACCTTCATTAAAAACACACGCACACACAAAACCCCACAAAAACTATGACATGTTTTAATTAAATTCTCTTTACTTAGAACTCAAATCTGACTTCATAGAACATTCCTGAGGCCAAGCATAAGATTATAATAATGTGAGTTCTATAGTGAGCTGTTACAAGCATATTTATCTTTTTCAAATCATTTCTTCATTAAATGACTGGAAAGGTCTGTTGAAAATAGCCTGGGTGACAGAGTGAGACTCTGACTCAAAAAACCCAAATCAACAAAAATGACAACAACAAAGACGGCCAACAAGTGTGTAACTACCCTACCATATTCTCTTTAACCAAATCCCTTTGCTGCCAGACTTCCTGCAATTATTAATATAAAGATGCCTAATATCTTTTATCACTTGTCATTACTTAAAATCACTTAGGATTTAAATTGTAGAGACGAGTTCTCATCAATTCCAACTCGAACTCCTGGGCTCAGTCCTTTACCTCCACCTCCCAGAGTGCTGGGATTACAGGTGTGAGCTACCATGCCCCAACTGTTGTTTTAATATTTGAAAGTTATCTTATTTCTCTTCCCTGCCCTAAGAATTTGCCTTAAAATCTCAACAAAGAAGTAAACATTTGAATTTTCCATAACCCAGACAGCCTTTTGCACTCCTAGAGAAAGCATATAGTTACTAACAAAATAAATATTTGGACTGCAGAATATCTTGGTGCTTTATACTTTGATTCTTTATCTGCTGTTAACTATCTAATCAGTAAGTATTTGTTCAGTTACTACTATGTGCAAAGCATATATTTTATGCTAGAATTTAATTATTTGATAATAATTTAGATTCAGATTGTGATTTAGATTTATATTCAGATTTAGGTATACTGTACATATTTTGTAGAGTATGTAGCTGTGAGCTTTCACCTGGAAAATGTCTTCATTCTTTCCTGTATCAAAACATGACTAGTGGCTGGGCACAGTGGCCCAAGCTTGTAATGTCAGCACTTTGGGAGGCAGAGGCGAGGATTGCCTGAGCCCAGGGGTTCGAGACCAGCCTGGGCAACATGGTGAGACCTCGTCTCTACAATAAATCAAAAAGTTAGCCAGACATGGTGGCACATGCCTGTGGTTCCAGCTACTTGGAAGGCTGAGGTGGAAGGATCACCTGAGTCCAAGGTTGTGGTGGCTGTGAGCATGCCATTGCACTCCAGCTTGGGCAACAGAGTGAGACTCCAACTCAAAAACAAAAACATGGCTAATATTTCATGTTATAAAAAAAGTAGTGGGAAGTCAGGAAATGTTGCTGGTTATTCTGAGCAAGGGAAATTGACCATGAGGCTTTTAAACCCACGTGTTTTATTAACGGGGAGGTAGCATGATTTGAAGCTCAAATCCTGGCTCTGCCACTTTTAGTGAGGATTAAATAGTAAAATCCTTCTACAAAACAGCTCAGCACCTGACACATAGTCATTGCTTAATTAATGCTATAGGCATTTGTGACCTATAAAAGGAATAGCTAAATGACTATAATTTTAGCATTCCCAAAAATGCAAATTCCATTACTCATGTGTTAGAGAATGTGTTAATTGTCCCCATTTGTTGTTTTATTCTTTCTGCCCAGCAGTCCTTCAGTTGGGAGAGTGACCGTTAATTTGTCTGTTTCTCTGGTATTCAGTTATACTAATTTAGGGAATCCAATCTGGGATTTCACATAATAGTCAATCCTGACATTTCAGATGACAATAGAAAGAAAATGTCACGCTTG